GTCCTGACCCCCGGAGACGGCTTAGATGGAACTGGTTGAGTCTCCTTACCTGGCTGGTTAATTGCTCAGGTCACCACTCCGCGCAAGAGTACAAGTAGAATAACAGTCATGTGCGGCCTTAGTTGCGTGTGGAAGATTTGATGGGGATTTTTGGTACTGTTGCGACCTGCTGAAAATAGGTTTTCATCTTAGATCTGGGTTCCAGTTTCACATTCAATGAAGACAAACTTCTTATGCTGAGATGGGAGTGTCATTTTCGTGAGACAGTGTTTTGCACCATGTATGGGAGAAAATATGATCGCGTCACTGTCAATTTGGATGGCTTTCAAACAGTTGTTCGAAGACAGCTTGACTGTCACTGATGACGGCGTTCCCGCGTGTCACACTGAGTATACGTAGGACGGTAACTTGTACGTAAATTCTTTTTTAGTGAGGCGGCCGGCCTCAACCACATGACGCCGGTGACCAGGCCGTGTTATGATGATCGCAGACGAGCTCGGGCACAGCAACTAACAAGGCCAAGTAAATTATGCCTGCTGCTTTTGAAGCTGCCTTCACAGAATGTTCCGAGTTTTGATGAGGGGGCGGCACGGATCCCACATGCATGAGAGTGTCACGAAGGTTACACTTAGAAGGGGCAGAAGGGGTGTCAAAGGCCTACTTCGTTCTCCTTCTTCGGCAAGACAGATTTCACCGAGAGCCCCATCAACAGGAAGGAGTAAAGAGTGCGTCGCTGTATACGATTGCCAAGGCACTCGAAAATGCTGCAGAATTTTATTTCGGTTAATTGCTGATGTAGTGGGGAAGCAACCTACATCAGTCCGAGCGGTTTGCAGCCCTTTTAGCAGCTTCGTTCACCCGAGACAATTTATTCACTCAGAGCTAACGGTGAGATATCATCAGGGTACCTCAAGTTAGTTAGCCGGTGTCTTAGCTTAAGTCTGACCACGGAAGCCACAAGAGGACTCTGGGTAATGCAGCAAATGAAATAATTGTGCTGGATGACGACGGACAAAATACCACTTTTCTATATTAGATTCTATTAACCTAAGGTTCTCAGATAAATCACCCACGCAACTGTATGAGGTTCGTTTATGCTCAGAATTCACAGAGAATCGTATAGACTGTTGTTCAGCACATCACACGAAGGTGCTAGGCGGATCTCACTCAAATTTCCATCGCGTTACCCCAATGTTGAGCACCATTTCATGGCTATGCCAGCCACGTAGAATGTACAGAGGATAAAGCGAACTAATTAATATTTATCCCCTTTTGGTTATTTGTACTGACCATTTATTCGAATATCCGGATCTTATTCAACTTACCAGCAACGACATCGCGTTTTTCATAATTGTGCACTCTGCTGCTTCAGACAGAAACCACAATTTTATAATTCCAACTTACTCCTTCATAATCAAGGATACCATACAATAAAGTGCGCTGTATCCGAGGCTATGTCTACTCTAGTCTCTTTTGATGCGCAACATCCCAGCACATGCGCAAATTCATATCCTCGTGATGTCAGCGTTTTAAGTCTTTACTTGTATTTAGTTTCTTATCTTAGCTCTGGGCTGTACGAACTTCTTATTTTTATCGTAGAGCCAAAATCCTTTGCTATTTAGACCCTTTATTAGTCTGATATTGCGCTGAAGTCTTTATCGAAAAAAAAGAACATGTTACATTGCACTGACCACCAGGGAGGTTTTAAAGATGGTACTATAATAAGAAAAACTCCGAGTTAACCAAGTACTCTTTCTCTCCCCACCTAGTTCTAGACGAGCACAATGAGGGCGGAACTGAAACAGGCCCAGAGAAACGACCTGGAGAAACTCGCTACCGAAAAGGTTAAGGGCAATGTCGAGGGCGACACACCCAAGGATGTTGACCTCCTCACCTTGGAGGACATACGCGACCAGATTAGGCACATTGAGAAGGCGATTGCCACTAAGGAGTTACACTACATAACTCGGGTCTTGCGCAGCATTGTGCCCATTCGTCGCAAGCTCAATCAAAACGTCCTTCGTAGCCTTGTTCAGGCCTACTTTCCCCCGCAGTCCCCACAGTGGACTTATTTTATGGAGTTCCTCCCAGAGGTCGGTTTTACCTATTACGTTATTGGGCTCTTACCAATTTCTTACAGGCTATGGATACCGGGACAAAATTTTCTGTCCCCAGGGTCAAATCTCCCCGGTCTAATGTCCCCATTCCTCCTGAAGTAGAGGTCTACTTGCATCTTCTACTGCTCATCCATCTTATCGATGAGGGGAAATCATCGCAGGTAAATATCGGAAGTGCTTGTTTCAGCTTACAGATTTAACTACTCA